TGGAGGATTAATGCTCAAGTGTCTTTAAGACTCTCCTAACGGAAACATAGGGTCTTTTAAAGAGATACCTGTAACTCCTTGTGTATGGCTGTACTGCAGTGCTATGTGCTTAATTGCCTATAAAAATAATTTTAGTCTTTTCCAATAAATCCAAATGGATCAACTCTTACTAAGATTAATCATCAAATTTAATTATTTGAAATTGAATTTATGTTGTCTTCATAACAGATCTGGAATATTTTCAGAAAGTGTCCGCAGTTATTATGGAAAAGATGCAACAATGTTCTGTTGGCCTTGAAATATATCTCTTTCGTCGCTGTGCCGACTTCACAAGTTCCATCTTTATTAATCGTAAAGAACCTGAAAATAAATTAAGAAATACTTGATTTTGTAGTTATTAGTCAACTAAGCAAAATTTGTTAATATTTGCTATATTTACCAGTGCATATTCCCTTTTGTTCTGATGATATCACTAAGTTTTGGGCTTGCTAAGATGTTTTCATATAAACAGATTTCCAACAAGTAATTTCATTTCTCTTTTGCTCTAAAATTGGCCTGTGTCTAGACAATGTGTTTAGATATTAGTAATGAAATGTATAACATGCAAGTAGCAACTCTAACCATGAGTAGGTTTTTTGTGTGAATGAAAAGGGTCACAGCATCTATCCTGGTAGGTCATAAACTTCACCAGATAAAACTGTTTGTGGTGAAAACAAACTGTATCTATGGAATTCTTCATTTCTGCTCTTAAGGCAATCAACTCTTTCTTCATCATCCAGTTCAGCAGCATTCATCAAACCAACACGTGAAGTAAAAGATTTCTTGTGGCATTCATCATCTCTTTCAAGGCCAACAGAACATTGTTGCATCTTTTCCATAATAACTGCGGACACTTTCTGAAAATATTCCAGATCTGTTATGAAGACAACATAAATTCAATTTCAAATAATGAAATTTGATGATTAATCTTAGTAAGAGTTGATCCATTTGGATTTATTGGAAAAGACTAAAATTATTTTTATAGGCAATTAAGCACATAGCACTGCAGTACAACCATACACAAGGAGTTACAGGTATCTCTTAAAAGACTCTATGTTTCCGTTAAAGACACTTGAGCATTAATCCTCCATTATCAAAGACAAAAGGGAAATGAGTTGCTTACCTTATTGTTGATGTCTTCTAGAAGTTTTGTGATAACTTCAGGTCCTACAGACAACTGATTTTCATTTGATTGCTAGTATGTACCAAAGCATCCTTTGCACCACTTGTGGGAATAATCTACTGGAGCATGCTCAGTGACGTTTTTTACCAAACATAATTTTTCAAACAATTAATAAAACTTTGAAGAAATTTGCTATATAATATGATAAAAGCCAATATTTGTGATTTCAAGCTAAATTCCAATGATACATGTACTCTGCAAGGATGGGTAGTGTTATAGAAACCATTACACAGAAGGTTACGAATTCGAAAAATGGTCAGATTTTCCAACCCAATTTGAGTAGGAAGGAGTTAAGACCCCAAGCTACCTTTTGGTCTACTACATGATTGTTCTATGTAGATTTTGGAAACATAATAAAAAAGTTTGTAAAAGGTATGCCTCTTGGGGAAAAAAAATCAATTTTTGACCACCACCAAAATATTTTGCCAGAAACCTACATCAGTTTATTGTAAGGTAGCATTGTCCTGGTGCTAGATATGACTTTCTAAGTGTTATTTTTGAATTCTACATGCCTGAAAATACTAGAGTGCTTGTTTTCCTCCATGTATCTCTTTCCAGTGAGGTTTAAAATAACTTTAACTTATGCATCAAAGATGTCATCGCTAGCCCTAAGCTTTTTGGGGGGTATTTTCAAAAAATGAAATGGTCCATAAAATCCAAACTAGATGGAATTTCTCAAAAATTTTCGACATTCTTCTCTAACTCATAGATCTTTATCAGTAAACCAAATTTGAGGCTATTCTGAGGGGTGGGGTTAAATGGTGATGATGATTTGGTATGGAATGACCCGAACTAAAAACCTTTGATAAAATGATTGCTTATGGTGTGATCATGGCTTGTCTTTATCTCTATTCCCTAATATATCAAAAACATTTCTATTTAAAGAAATCTCTCTCTTATTAAAGGGATTAGACAAGGATTGGAGGGAGGGGGGCAGAAGCCATGATGTCATACTGCCAACCCATTGCCAGAGAGCCAACAGATCCCATATGTGGTGAAAAAAATTCATTGCATACGCCCTCATACATATTGTTACTGTTAATCAATCTCAAAATCTTTATCACATCTTTTTCTAGTTTACAAATTATAAACCTCTATCAAAAAGGCTGTTTTAAAGAGAACAAATACATTGGAGAAGCAGAGCAAGGGAAAAGGACAGGAAAGAATAGAAAAAAAAAAAAAAAAATAAATAAATAAAAAAAAAATAAAAAAAATAAAAAAAAATATACAGAATGACTAAAGAAGAGCGAGAGAATATAATTTTTTCTTACCTTTATATATGGTCGAAGAACATAATCAATTTTGCCCAATCCAACAAGTTCCTTCAGTGCTAAATGATGTGCTCGGAATTCTTTAGTCCCTAGTTCAGCATAAAGGGTGACTCCAACCTATAATATGGGTTATAATTAATAGATAAATTGTGTAGAGTGGCTGAAATTTTTTTTTGATGGTATAAACATCATATATCAATGGCAGATATAAAAAAGTTAAAGCAATTACCTTAGCATTCTCTCCTCCAGGATAATGATGGTCCACATCATAAGACACAGGTTTAGTGCCTGAACCTACTTCCACTAATTTCTTCATTGCCTCAATATTACATGAAAGCTCTCCATTAACATCAAATACAGCAATACAGTCCTCTCCAGTCGGGAGATTTCTGTCTAGAGCAATCTGACGAAACATTTCAATCTTTGGTGAGTACACTCTCATGGACAGGCTGAGCTTCAGAATGCTGACTTGTGATGGTGACAAAAACTGACCAGCAGTTTTAAGGATCTCATTATATGCTGCTTTATCACTTCCTGAAATAGAAATTAAGTAATTATTTTACATCACATCAACGTGTAATCGAAATGTGACTAGATATTCAAATTATGCATTCAAACCTACAACAAGAGATCATGTGATTGAACTTTTCTTCTGTTTACCTTTAGTAAAAAGAGTAAAATCTTTTTGTGAAACAGCTTCCACAAACTCCCAGAAGGTAGCAATGCTCTCTTCTCTCATGTATTCTGCAGTCTCCAATAACAGAGGTGTGTGACTCCATTTGGCAGAAAGATGAGTTGTTACAGGCTTGACTTTACTTTGACACTTCACTGTGGTGCCAATCAGAAGGAAGCATAACAGCCCCAAAAGGGGTCCTAAAACTTCTCTCATGGTGTTGACCTGTACAAGGAAAAACAAATATAATTTTTGTGGTTTACTGGTCTAGAATTAAACAATGGAATCAATTGAATTTAGACAAAATTTCTCCAACTGCAAAATAAACTCTGTGATGAAAGGTCTACAATCTTAACCCCTACAATCTAGACGACGAGACCATCATGTTATGAAAAAATTTAGGTTTATAGGTGGATGACATGAAATTGGAAAAATCTTGCAGTAGACTGGGGTGAAACGAACTTGCATTATATTCAAAGCTGCTGTGATCAATGAAGTAGGTTTTATTACGTTTACGCACGCACGCACGCACGCACACACACAAAATCTAAATATTACTTATTATCATTATTCTTGTACTGAGTTACAGACTACCTTGAAAGATGATATGTAGCATGTGCAAGGAAAACCGTCTATTACAATCTGGATAAAGCAAATCAAATGACAGATATGCACATTGGAAAATGGCAAAAATGCTGAAAAATGCTTATGCATAAAAAGAGAAAATAACATTGCAAAGGGGAGCATAGAATCTTGTCACCACATACATAGAATCTTGTCACCACATACAAGTGTTCACATGCACCCAGCCTACAAACTGTGCTCTTTTAACTGTTGTTTCTCCCTAGTCAGTGTGGTCCATTTATATACTTGAACCCACTCTTGTATTAACACATTTCCTGTCTGCCAGCTTTTAATAACAGCAAAAGAGAAGGACAGAGGATTAAGGTTGGTGACCACTTTAATTGGCACATCATTAATCTTTAAAAAATATGATTAAAACATACATAGATCAACCCCTTACATACAGCCATAAAACTGTTTTGATAATCAAATTTTGGCTCAACAATGGTAGTCTAGAGGGAGTACAATGAGCAAGGGCATGAAATATAAAACAATTCTATATATCTAATAAATTCTAGCAACTCAGAAATAAATTCCTGTGTCTTATTTATGCATCAGCAATAATAAATAACATTATTTCAGTCTTTTCTTTGATAACAAGTCATCACCATCATCAATAACCAGAAAATCATCTTTAAAGTCAGGGACCTGAAATCATTACAGCAATTTATAATTATTTCATGCCAAAAAATACATGGTGGAGTAAGCTAGCCTTTGCTGAAAGACAAAGTACAGATAACTAGCTTATTGTAAATCTACTGCATTTCTTTTTTTTTAAGAATAAATTCAGTTTCATTGATGAAACAAAAAATATTACTTTTTATTAATGGTATTTCCTTTTTATGTTGATAATATGAGAGTTGTAAAACATTTACTACTTTGACAAACATTTACAAAATGACTGCACTATGAAAGGGAAACTCTAATGACATTGTGATAAAGAAAGTGAAAAATTATACTTCCTGAAAGGCCTGCAAGAAATAACCTGTGTAGGCAAAGGATAGGTTGTGAAAAATGCCATATGGAGACTATGTCCAAGTGATTGGGAGCAGGACCCCCAAACCCACACCCAATAAATGTTGGGTCTGGGGGGTGATGCCTCTCAGTTACGTTGATTCTTGTTTCATACGGCCATGTTTGTGGATTCCTCAGAGTGGTTGGAATAATAGGGCCTTCCTTACTTGCAATGAAAAACAATAAGAGATTCACA